TACCCTTTTACTACTTGCTATTTTTGCCAAAAAAGCAGCTTTTGACTCGATAAAGCTTTACGTTTTGTTCAAATATTGAATATTTCAGAGGCTTCTGAAATGGTAATTCATGTAAATAAAGGTTACAAAATCTGAGAGTTGATTATGTCCTGGTCGGCACTCGGGAATAAGGACCAATATTTCAGATGAAAATACAAGAACCTCATAGTTGGATGAAAGAGTTTTCTTTAAGAAGGCCCTAATTCAAATATTAATCCAGAATTTAAATCTTAAATTTTTAAAGTTAATAGGTTCTAAATCGATAATTTATATATATCAAATAATTTTTACGGCAAATATAAAATTTGTGTTAAAGCTACAGAGTTATTTTTGAATCTGCTTAAACTCTATATCTGCCCTTGGCGCATGTTGCAGATTTTCAAGAAGATTTATAGCTTGAAAATTTTGGTGTTGGGGTTTACATGGTTCACTAACACACTTGTAAATTGTTTTACAATTGTTCTTTTACTGAAACTAGAAAGTAAAAAGTATTACTATATTTCTTTTGTAGTTTAATTATTGAGATTAGGGGTATATAAATGAAACCGACAAACCGCATCAATCCGATAATCCGATTCAAACCGAGAAAAAAAATCCGACTATGATTTGGTTTGATGTTAGAAAAAAAACTCTATCATATTTGGTTTGGTTTGGTATTAACTAAAAAAAGTCAAACCGAAACCAAACTAACCCGACATTATATGTATAGACGTTTTAAATATATTTAATACATAAAAATATTTACTATAAAGTAGTTTATAAATATTTCCTAAGCTTTTTTATAGTTTTATTTTTCCACGTATTATTTCAAGCTTGGACTTATTATTTTTGGATGATCCAATAAGTTTTATAGTTCGCAAATGTTAGTAACTCAAATAAATCCTAAATCAATATCAAATTAATACTAATGCTAATAAAAGATATTCAATTCAATTGTAATGAAAATAGTGTTGGATATTTATTTTTTAGTTTTTCCATGGTATAGATAAAATGCATAAATTATTTTTCTTTGAGAACGCGTATGACAAGGTTCCTAGAGAAGTTCTCTGGAGATGCTTGGAGGCGAAAGGTATGTCGGTTCTCTACATTATGGCAATTAAGGACATGCATGATGGGGCTAAGACTCGGGTTAGGACAGTAGAAGGCGACTCTAAGCATTTAATTTCCGGTTGTAATAGGGTTACACTAAGGTTCTGCGCTCAATCTGTTCTTATTCTCCCCGATTATGGACGCGTTAACAGACCATGTTCAAAGGGAGGTGTCATGGCCTATGGTGCATGCTATTCGCCTAGGATATAGTTCTGATTGATGAGTCGCGGGCCAGTGTTAACGAGAGGCTGAAGGTTTGGAGACAGGCTCTTGAGTCTAAGGGTTTCAAGTTTAGCAGGACGAAGACGGAATACCTGGAGTGTAAGTTCATCACTGAGTTGAGGGAAGTGGGCGTGGATGTGAGGCTTGAATCACAAGTCATCCCAAGTAGAGGCACTTCAAGTACCTTAGGTCGATTATCCAGGGGGAGGGGAGATCGACGAGGATGTCACACACTGTATTGGGGTAGGATGGATGAAGTGGAGGTTAGCATCTGGAATCCTATGTGACAATAGAGTACCACCGATACTCAAAGGTAAGTTCTATAAAGCGGTGGTTAGACCGGCCATGATGTATGGGGCTGAGTGTTGGCTTGTTAAGAAACTCACATATCCAGAAGATGAAAGTAGCAGAAATGAGGATGTTGAGGTGGATGTGCAGGCACACTAGGATGGATAAGATTAGGAATAATGATATTCGGGAGAAGGTGCACGTGGCTCCCATTAATGACAAGATGTGAGAAGCGAGGCTCAGATCGTTCGGGCATATTAAGAGGAGAAGTCCAGATGCTCCGGTAAGGATGTGTGAGCAGCTGGTTGTAGAGGGCACGAGAAGAGGTAGAGGGAGACCTAAGAAGTATTGGGGAGAGGTGATCAGGCAGGATATAGCGAGGCTTCAAATTTCCGAGGACATGACACTTGATAAGAAGATGTGGAGGTCGAGTATTAGGGTTGTAGGCTAGGAGGTAGTTGAGTCTTGCCTTACTTCGTACCTTTATGAGACTAGTTTGGTAGGGTTTTTGTCTAAGATAGCTAGTGGCAATGTTGTGTCTTACTATTTCGCTTTTCTGTGCAGGACCTATTTACTATCTATCGCTTCTGCTTTGCATCTTTCTTCCGGATTTCATATGGTTACTATTTTTCTTACGATTTTTGTGGTGATATTAATATTGTCTCCTTTTGTCTTTTAGTTTTCTTGAGTCGAGGGTCTTTCAGAAACAACCTCTCTACTCCTTCGGGGTAGGGGTAAGGTGTGTGTACACACTACCCTTCCTAGACCCCACTAGTGCAATTTTACCGGGTTATTCTTGTTGTTTAGCCATGTAAATAATATTACTTATTAGTCGTACTTATTTTAGCAACTTATTAGTAATTTTAAATTATGTTTGTTTTCATTCTGGCTTATTAACAATACTTATTTTATGCGATTCTATTATTTTTATTGTTAGAATATTTTAGTACGATGCCACGACTCATCTCATATTTATGTTATTCTATTGAAAAACACCCTATATAGTTCTATCTTACTAGGATTAAAGAAATATTTGGAGCACAAATTCTATATTTTGTACTATGAAGACTTTATGAAAGAAAACCTGAAAAATTCGAGAAAAGCCGAGATTGAAAAACCTGACTTTTACTGGATTGGTTTGGTCTTTAGATTTAATAACCCAATATAATTAATTTGGTTTGGTAATTATAAAATCCGAACCAACTCGACCCATGTACACCCCAATTGAAACACATAAAATTCTTGATTACTGTAACATGTACATGGCGGATTTTTTTTTTCCTGAAAATGACTTCTATAGAAATATATGTATTGAAGTTAAGATGATAGTAGCAAAACGAATTGCATTCTGATAAATATTTTGAATATTAAAGATTGATAATAATTACTTAACCATTAGTTTAAGTAGTAGTATGAAGTTTGTGATAATTATAAAAGAAAATGACTTCCGCCCAGAAGTGAGAGAAGTCATTCTCCTTTTTTAGGTGGAAAATAATTTTCCTAAAATATATTTTCTGGCAATCTCGTATTTTTTGGAACAAATTTTCTAGAAATTCTTTTCTTTCAAACCACACGCACCTTATATAATCTTTTGTAACATTATAATTTTATTTTCAATTGGAGGACTTAAATAGTATTAGATGTGCGTGTCCACTTTATAATTCATACTCTAATAGACTAATACTAATAGATAGATGTAGTTTTCACTTTGATTTTTGCAAGTTGTTTTACAAGACAAAGAAAGGGAATGAAACGGATACTTGGTAAAGGAATACAGGAATTTTCGAAAATCAATATTGTTTAGTTACTGTTAACTTCCTATAGCTACTATTTACATAATTATTTTCTATAGCTATTATTCAGTTGTTACGGTAGTGTATTCGCTGTATTCACATTGCTGTATTTATGAATACAGTAGCAAAAAGCGCCTAAAAATGAGAGCAACCTAACTGTATGCGCATGTATCCACATGTATTCGCGCCATATATTCATGAATACAGTAGCAAAAAGGGCCTAAAATTAGGACAGTCCAGCTGTACGCGCATGTATTCACATGTATTTGCGCCATGTATCCCTAAATACAGTAACGACAATCACCTTAAATATAGGTACGTCCAGTTGTCTAAGAGAGGGGAAAAACATAAATAGCATATTTCATGCCTCAATGGTAGTATATGCCATAAATACTTATTTTGCTATAAAATATAAAAAATAGCTATAAAAAATAATATTTTAAAATAATTTTAATTTATAATAAATAGGGTGAATAACTTTTGCTATAGGAGATAAAATTTCGATAGAATAGAAATACCCTTTAAAGAATTGGGGTTATAACAGAATATTTGGTTGGATAATAAAAAATTTGTTGAAAATCCAAAAACGAATGTCACTCCCAAAGTTCAAGTACTAGAAGGTCGGCACCGGCCTTGCTCACATACAAAGGCAGACAAATTATATCAATGGTATTTGATTTGCTTTAGAAGGTATTGAGATTAAAAATTTGAAAAAGTAGCCTCTTTGTCATTTAAAACTCGAAATGCAAATGCATAATCTAAAATTATCCCTAATAATTACAAGGAATGGAAAGTTTTTAAGCATAGGGCTTCATATGAAATTCATTACCATAAAGCTTAAGGAAGTGGCAAGCCCTGCAGTGACCTTTCAATAATGACCACATTTCTCCTCTTCGAAGTTATAGAGAAGATACCTTGGTATGTATGGTTTAAAGCAGTGATACATTCTTTTCAGTAAGATATACATAATCAATACGAAGAACTTAAATAAATTTAAAGAGGAAGAAAAATACCTAATTACCTCCTAAACTTGGCTCTTGAAGGTGGGGTAAGGTCGTAGTTACACTGGGCTTGTTGTTGTTGTATCTCCTAAACTTGGCACCGATTATTTGGTGCACAACTATTTGTAGTCCTAATTACCTCGGACTTGGCTAGTTGACAGCCTTTACACCTTGGACGATCTCATCCAACGAAGTGCAGAATCAACTCCAGTAAGGTCAAGGAGCAACAATGAATTGAGCTCTTTTGAATGGACATTTAAGACTGCAATATGTCAATCTGTTCCGTGCTTGGTTAAATTAAGGAATTTATTGATGATTAAATCAATTGCGTAAAGAAGAACAGGAGGCAAAAACCCAAGACTAACAAACAGTAATAATAAAACCCCCAATACTGGAAAGCAGCAATGCTATTCTTAGAGTCTTTGTTAAAGCTCTTTCCATTTTCAAATGGCTTTTCTTGTAACAACTTTTAAATTGCTTTAGATGAGGCCAGTTTGAAATAAACCTACACATCTATTTCTCTATAGTTAGCATGTTCCTATGTATCCTCTTTTGGACCAGGCAAACAGACAAGAAAACACATGTAGCTACATCAACTATAACTAGAAATTGAAAGTAATAGACAGACCTTTGATGTCAATTATTTCAAAGTACAATGTAAGGCATACAAGCTCTCAATAGTACAAAGAGCAGTTACTAAAATTTTACCCGCAGTACCAGGAGGGAGTAGGATTCTTGAAGTGTACATGAAAAAAATTCTTCAGCAGAAAATATTTCAACCTCAAGATAGAAGGGCGTGAAAGCGGTTTGAACTAACTTTGGGCACCAAATAAGTCCAAGCAATACAAAGAAGATGCAAACACTTATCAACCTCCATATTGTGGGAACACGACTTAGTCTACTAGAGGATTTAGCACGCTACCAACAAACAGTACCACGCCTGTTGCATCTTCTCTAATCAGGAAGAGATATGGATGATCAGCAACAAAGTCTACTTTCTCTTCTACCATTAATGCCCTTAGTTTAATCACACCAGCGGTTGCAGCTGCAGCTTCTGTTCCCTCTTCATTTACCTCAATAAAGGACTTGTGGAAAATGCTAGAAACATAAAGGTTACTGCCAACAGGGGAGTCCACCATCTCAGTTAGGCCATCACCAGAGAAAGGCAATACCAGGCCAAGCCCTTTCAGAATGTTAGAAGCTTCAAATCCAAACGATATTTTAAATTTGGGGATACGAAATTCACCAACTCCAACCTTCTGATATGGAAGGTGACGCTCCAAGAATTGGGATTCAGAACTGACCTTATCTACCAAAGCTGGCAGTCCATCATTGGCATCAGGCAGAAAGAAGTACATGGTAAAACGACGCCTATCTTCACTGTGTTTATAAGGAAGCCCCAAAACCTTGAAACCATCAAAAGCTTTTATGTATTGCTTCTTCTTGCTAGTCATGAAGGGCACTTGAAGAGAGGTCCCATTGAGAAGGTGGAACTTATTGTCCTTAGTCACTGATGCATCGAACTTCTCATCCCAGGCTCCTTTAAAGTACAGTGCATTTGCAAACACAAGTCTTGTTGCACTGTCAACTGAGTCAGCTGGAAGAATTTCTTTGATAAGCCCGCTTGTTTCTTTTTCAGCCCATTGATTCACTTGATTGGCAACCTCAACAGCCTACAAATCATCAAAACTTAATAATAAAACATATGCAAAAGGATTCTTTTTAGTTTTCCTTTACTTTATTTTCTGACTCAGCTGCAGGTGCTGGTTGGTTAAAGTTCATAGGTTAGTAGAACTATCCATGCTAAGATTGCAGGGAAACAGAAATGTTAGAAGAGTATAGCCAGTTTCTTATGCAATGAATGTAGAATTAGAACTACTTCAATCTCCAGTGAAGGCAGCAATACATCAGTATTTGAGATCATAGTGAATGATAAGCATGATGAAAATGTGTGAGAAACCATTCATTGGCCTACTGTTTATCAATCATTTAAATGCACAAATTCAACCCCATCTGTTCATCGTTCTATCCCCAGCTAAGAGAAAAAGGTACACACAGAGAAAGCCAAAGGCGCAAAAAAAAATTGTTTTACACCTTTGGCTTTATCGTTGTTTGTACCAGATCCCTAAGTTTTCAATGCCAAAAGATGAAGTGCACAAAGTTTTATGGAGCTAAAAGTAGAAATGCAAATCCCTCGAGCATAAACATTAAGCGCACTGAATTTCATGTGTACCAAAAAGTAAACAGGACAGCTTTGGCTGGTCCTACTCAACAAAAGATATTTGAAGGTCGAGAATTGACAGTAACCAAAACCCTAGCTCCATTGAAGTAGGAAGATTTTATCATCAAATTGTTACTTCCAATGTCCCAGCTCACAATCCATTCACCACATTACTTTACCAAGCTAACTTAACAGTTTACAAAGATCAAAATCGTGATACTGCTACTAAACTTTATAGTATTTCAATCTATATTGTATACACCACCTAACCGGATATCAGCTGCTAAATAAATCCTAATCTTTGATATGTATGACCAATCCATAAGTTTAAGTATTTCGAAAAAAGAAAGGAAACAGAAAATGGAAAAAAAGAAGTGTTTGGAACTGAATGGCAACGAAATTTGCCTGCAAGAATTCACAAACGCAAATGATACAACAGATTTCCTCGTAGTATAATTATCCCATCAAGCATTTCATAACTGAACCGATCAATTACTCAAATTAGTTACCGTCGGCTTTATGAATCACCTATATCTAATCCTTTTTACTTAGGCTATTTCTATCTGTTACAAAAAAAATTGATTTTTAAGGCAAACNTGCATAGTATAAGCTGTGTGTTCAGTAGAACCCACTAGCTTTGGCCCCCGGTATATGTGTTAACATATCTACTAAATACATACAATATTAAATTTCGAACCCAATAGTAATCTCAGCTCCACAAAACAGGAAAAACTGAAATAATCCTACTCTACTGAAGTAGCTAAGCAATGGTTAAAATCGGGGCTTAAAAATCTTACCTTGTTCTGGAAATCAACAGAAACAGAAGCAGCTTTATAAAAATTGTCCACAATCTGTTTGAAAGAAGGCTTCAAAGGCAAAGTCTGCTCAACCCAGACCCCATTAGCAACGGACAAACGAGGCCCACCACTGGGGCTACCATCAGCAAAGACAACATCAACAAGCTGAGAAGAAAGAGAGTTGAGTTCATCAGTAGATTTGGATTTGAGGAAAGCGAGCAACTGGTCACGGGTCGGACCATTTGAACCCGCAGCGATTAGACCCAACACTACGTGGATCGACAAAGGGGAAAAGACCATGTTGTTGTTCCCTTTAACCTCGGTTGCAAAAACATGTTTCGCTAATGTTAAGGATACACCTGTTTGGTTGCTGATCGATTCTTGAAGGTCCATTGCAATGGAGATTATTTGGGTATTTCTGTGATTGTGTAAAGACTTTTAAAGAGTCAAACAAGAAAGAGATGGTGAAGTAGAGACACGTTTAAGTTTGAACAGTGTTTAAAGTCAATACTTAGCATTGAAGTATGGAACTTGTACCTTTCTACGAATCCGGAACCAAAGTGCGTTTTTTTTTTTTACTCAAAATATGCAAATAAGTGTTAAAAAAAGTTATCAAACTATATATAAAAACTATATATAACGCCACAAATAGTGGCACTATACGGTAACGTTAACTGCACCGTTACTGTATAGCGCCACTATTTGTGGCGCTATACTGACACACCTTATATAGCGTCATTAATAGTGGCGCTATACCCCTTATTACCTGACCCCACCAATAATTTTGGGTTCAATAATTTAAAAGCGTATAAAACCACTTTTTGTGGCGCTATATACAAAAAAAAAAAAAAAAAAAAAAAAAAAAAAAAAAATCCGGCTAGCCATTTCCTATATAAACATCGTAGAATCGCCACAACTTCATTCAATTTTTTTTTTTAACTCTTGTTGGTTTCTATTGTTGTTAAATTCATAAGGTTCTTGCCAGGCAGGAAGGTTCTCCACAGAACTTAATATACCCCCGTGTCGATCAGATATTAGACAANCAAGAGTTAAAAAAATTTTTTGAATGAAGTTGTGGCGATTCTACGATGTTTATATAGGAAATGGTTAGCCGGGTTTTTTTTTTTTTTTTTTTTTTTTTTTGTATATAGCGCCACAAAAAGTGGCTTTATACGCTTTTAAATTATTGAACCCAGAAATTATTGGTGGAGTCAGGTAATAAGGGGTATAGCGCCACTATTAATGGCGCTATGTAAGGTGTGTCAGTATAGCGCCACAAATAGTGGCGCTATACAGTAACGGTGCAGTTAACGTTACTGTATAGCGCCACTATTTGTGGCGTTATATATAGTTTGATAACTTTTTTTTAACACTTATTTCTATATTTTGAGTAAAAAAAAACACATTTTGGTTCCGGATTCCCTTTCTACCGCAATCAGCAAGGTGACCACGTAATCAAAGAAAAAATGAGTAATTGTTTTTTCAAGTGTTGATGTTAACTTGGTTTACAAAAAGAATTTTTGCTTTTTAAATTAGTGCTCGTGCTAGTTTGTCACACACCTTGACTACCGTTTTATTAGTTTGTCACAAATATCATGAAATTTTTGCCTTTAAATAAAACTTAGATATGAGAATAATATTTACTATTATATCAGGTAAGTTTCAACAACAACAACAACATCCCAGTATAATCCCACAAGTGAGGTCTGAGGAGGGTAGTATGTATGCAGACCTTACCCCTACCCCGAGGGGCAGAGAGGCTGTTTCCAGGAGACCCTCAGCTCAAGAAGGCACCAAGTGACGATATATTAGTACTATTGATAGACTCATAATATAATAACATAAAATACATAACATACATAAAAGAAATTAAAATAGCAAAATAACAGCCATATAAGAGAATATAGGAAATACGAGAGAGATGGAAGGTAAACTAATATCCAGCGTATAAAGCCCTGCATCAGTAGCTAACCAGTAGTATCCTAAGCCTAACTCCTAACGGGCCAGTCTTACTCTAGTGCGCTGTATAGATATTCACAACTTCCCCATAACCTTCAACCTTAATGTTCGACCTCCACAATTCCCTGTCTAGGACCATGTCCTCAGTAATCCTAAGTCGCGTCATGTCCTGCTTGATCACCTCTCCCCAATACTTCTTAGGTCTCCCTCTACCTCTCCTCGTACCCACCATCGCCAATCGCTCACACCTCCTCACAGGTGCATCAGTGCACTTCCTCTGAATGTGCCTGAACCATCTGAGTCGTGCTTCCCGCATCTTGTCCTCTATTGGGGTCATGCCCACCCTCTCTCGAATATCTTCGTTCCTAATCTTATCCATCCTTGTATGCCCGCACATCCACCTCAACATTCTCATCTCTGCTACTTGCATCTTCTGGATGTGTAGGTTCTTAACCGGCCAATACTCGGTACCATACAACATGGCAGGTCTAACTACTGCTCTATAAAACTTACCTTTTAGTAACGGTGTCACTTTCTTGTCACACAGGTCCCATCGCAACTTCCACTTCATCCACCCCACCCCTATACGGTGTGTGACATCCTCGTCGATCTCCCCGGTCCCCTGAATAACTGACCCAAGGTACTTGAAACTACCCCTCTTAGGTATGACTTGAGATTCAAGCCTCACTTCTACTCCCTCGCCCGTCGCCTCGTCCCCAAATTTTCACTCGAGGTATTTCGTCTTCGACCTGCTCAATCTGAACCCTTTAGACTCAAGGGCCTGTCTCCAAACCTCTAGCCTCTCATTGACGCCGCGTCGGGTCTCGTCAATTAGGACTATGTCATCAGCAAATAGCATGCACCATGACACCTCCCCTTGAATATTGTGCGTTATGGCATCCATCACCAGGGAAAATAGGAAAGGGCTGAACGTCGACCCTTGGTGCAACCCTGTAACAACCGGAAAATGCTCGGAGTCGCCTCCTACTGTTCTAACCCGAGTCTTAGCTCCATCATACATGTCTTTAATCACCCTAATATATGCAACCGGGACCCCTTTAGCCTTTAAGCAGCTCCATAAGACCTTCCTAGGTACCCTGTCGTACGCTTTCTCTAGATCGATAAACACCATGTGAAGATCCTTCTTCTTATCCCTGTATTGTTCCACCATCCTCCTAATAAGGTGAATAACTTCTGTGGTAGATCGCCCCGGCATGAACCCGAACTGGTTGTCTGAAATAGACACCGTCCTTCGCACTCTCATTTCAACCACTCTCTCCCAGACTTTCATGGTATGACTCAGTAATTTGATACCCCTATAATTGTTACAGCTCTGAATATCACCTTTGTTCTTATACAACAGAACCATTGTACTCCACCCCCACTCTTCAGGCATCCTATTAGAATTACTAACCATTGTAGCTCTGATTTTGCATTTTTTTTCTCAATGGAAAAAATTTCCAACTAGAAGAGGTTTCTATATCAATTATGATTTTATTTTTATTTGTTTTTCGATGTGTTTTTCCTATTATGCAATAGTATATGTTTTATGTACATTCTTATTCGTTGAATAAACATTAATCTCATCCCTCAAACGGAAGTTTTTCAGTTCATTTTGCCGAATTAACTTGTATACAGCGCATAACATGACAAATACTCATATATTAAGTATAACAAGTGACGAAATTAAAGAACTTGAAGTTGAACTATAAACAAACTGAGACACAACTTCTGTCATTACCATATATTGAAAGCACAACTAAAAATAAACGTAAACATCGATATAACTAGCTAAAATTGATTAAGTGGATTTAACATCGATGCAACTAACTAAAATTGATTAAGAGGATTCAACACAGTCCCTATGAACAAAACAACACAAGTAGCATCATCTTTCACCAGGAACAAGAAGGGATGATCAGCAACAAAATCTATCTGCTCCTCTTTAATCATCACACCTGAGCACCCAATCACCATTGTAGCGGCAGTAACTGCCGCAGCTTCTGTACCTTCCTCATTGACTTCAATAAACGACTTGTGAAAAACTTTTGTTACAAACAGAGGGTCATTATCGTCCATTATCTCAGCGAGACCATTGCCATAGAAAGGATGTGTGAGGCCAAGTCCTGTTAGAACCTCTGTAGCTTCAAACCCAAAAGTTATTTTGAATTTGGGGATAAGAAACTTACGCACTATAACTTTTTCTAATGGAATATGTCGATTTAAGAATCCAGGTTCTGAACTGATTTTCTCCAGTAAAGCAGGTAATCCGTCGCGGGCATTTGGGAGGTATATGTACATGCTGAGACAGCGCTTGTCGTCGCCTTGTTTATAAGGACGTTTTAGCACTTTAAAACCATTAAAGGCCTTAAACGTATTGCCATTTTCGGCTGGTCATGAAAGGTGCTTGAACTGATTCTCCATTGAGGAGATGAAACTCATCATCTTTTGTATCTGAAGCATTTAACTTCTCATTCCATATTCCTTTGAAATATAATGCATTGGCTAAGATGAGAACTGTATCGCTTTTGACTGAATCTTGAGGAAGAATCTCATTGATTAGACCATTTGTTTCCTCTTTAGCCCACTTATTGACTTCATTACGAACCTCTTCACTCTTCAGCCTTAATAAAATCAGAGAACATAAAATCAGCAGGCTAATATAGTTGAAATTAAAAGAAAAAAATATTCTATATGCACATTATTAAAAGAAAAAAATATTCTATATGCACATTATAGAAGCTGTTGTTGAAAATTGTCAGTAGCATATATGAGAAAGCAACAGACAATGAAAGTACTTAATTGACTCAAGTAATATATCAAGAGTCCATTACTTAAATGGTCACTCAATATATATATATATATATATTAAATCAAAAAAGTTACTATATAAAATTGCATTGTGGTTAAAACAAGTGGCAAGCTAATAAATGCAAATAGTATATGGTAACTTTATTGATAGTTTCTATAGCAATTTTCAAGTGTAACAAAAAGTATATTTAAAAAAAAATGGTATGACATGAAATATTTTTTTTAAAATATAAACAAATTATTTCAAAATGGATTTTTTTAATATAATGTAATTTTAAAAATAAATGGATAATATATTTTTGAATTTTGTAGAGTTTTTAAATTATTATAATAGAAGTCATATCACGGATAAAATCAAGAAACCGAAATCTTATAGAATATTTATATAAATATCTGGTCAGATTTATTGTTTACGTTTTATAGCTAATATTCATAGATGATATACTGGCAACACACGATTATACACATATTATATATCGATTACATATAATTACACAATCTTTCAAAATTTTAATTTAAGTGGTAAGGCGAGCACATATTTAGATTGATTAGATAAAGCCAAAAGAAAAATATGGAAGAATTTCAACTAAAGACTAAAAATATAAATAAAGTTCTTATGTAGACAATTTCTATTTAAACTAATCCTTTTATAGAGAAATAAATTAATTTTTTGTAAAAAAAAAAAGACATAAAAAATAAGATAAAAGAAAATAAATATAGAAAAAATAT